ATGCTAAAGGGGGCAATTAGAGACCTAGGGACTACTCGGCGATTTTCAGGGTCCCCCTTTAAGGGATTTGACTATGGAGCCCTGACAGTTACTTTTGTTCTGCGCTGGCGCAAACGGCATCATGGTCTGAGTTATGTGTTCATCGTGGAGACTGCTGCTTTCTTGCCGAAAGGTCACCTAAGTCCTCCACCTGATTGGCACGACCCTAAAATCCTCAACTCAATTAGGATCCACATAAGGCTGGATTCATCCTGGTCTGTCGCGGAAACTGCAGTAATGGAAATCTCTGATGCCACTAGTGGCTGGGCTGCTTTCAGCATTGCGTACAAGGGCCTAGACGCCTGCGGAATCTGCACTGCCTTTACAAGGCATCCTTTATCTGCGTCAACATGTCGACTCAGCATAATTAGGCCAGGCAGCGTGGTTCATGAGGATATCCATCATCACCTGCCGGGAAAGTGCCACTCAATCACATTTGCTTTCTCCGGGAGGGCTGTAAAAGCTTGGGGCAGGGCTGACCTTCTTACCAGCACGCAAATATTGCCCCTAAGCTGCTGAGACTTGGAGAGGTCTTTCTTCTGCTGTGACCCCCCCTCTCCCTCGAGAAACCATTCGATAGTTCATGCTGCGTGTTCCATGCTTCGCCGGCACTCCCAAAAATCGAACAGGGAACCCTATCAATATAGTAGGAATACAGTAGGAATATAAGGACCCTGGTAGGCTGGTAGGTATATTCCTATAATATACATCCCTACTATATTCTTGGGGTTCCGTGCTTGCAGCCCCCAGCTGCATCATTGCACTCCTTTTAAAGCTCCGAGCAAGCTGCGGTGGGCTCTTAGACCCTATACTTGGAGGCCCATGGGACTGAGCAACTACTTGAATCCGGGCTTATAACCCCTTATAATCCACTTCAGCAGGCTTATAGAGGTTACCCCAATTATAAGTAGTTCAAGTAGTTACTAAGTCCCATGGGCCTCCAAGTAGTTTCCCGATAGGACCGAAGTGAGGGCAGATTCAGGGGCCTATAGGGTCTAATAGGCCAGCCTCGACCCCAGATCACACACGAGTCTCAGCATGGAGCTCGTTAAGTAGTTCAGGGTCCCGAAGATAAGGAGTCCGGGATTGGCCGAACCCCGTGTTGTGACACGGACATGTAGACATTCCTGATCAGACCAGAACAAAAGCCAACCAAGCACGAACAACACATCGGCTTCAAGCGTTTTGCTTTGGCGAGGCTCTTATGCGCCAGTTTAACTCGCATGGTTGACTGAATGACAATGCCAAATCCACCAGACAACAACCCCAATTTAATACTGTACCCGTACGCCCGACTGGTAGTCCCCATACCCTCCCCCCAAACCTCTGCAGCTGCAGAGAGATGAGGCCTCGACTCCAAGTAATAGTGTTAGGGTTTAAGGGCTCTTGAATCCTGCAAAATGGCCGCGGCTCCTATCCTCTAAGTCCAGATGGGGTGATTCTGCAGTAAAACGACCCTCTAAGAAGGGGACCCGTGCTAGCCTGTATACCTACATCTACATGTATATCATCAACAACTTAATGCATGTATATACATCTATACACACGCAGATATAGTAGTATACGCATATAGATATTTACCCATAGATGATGCAAGGCACACAGAACCCACGGCCTGGAAAGGGGCGATGATCAAGCCGAAAAGCAGGTAGCAGACCAAATCTGTACTACGGATATCGTACTGCCTCGGGCAACTGGGGGTTTTCGGAAATTGGGGGTCCATTTTTGGGGGGTCCCTGCAATTGCAGTATGTTGGGGTCTGGATTGAGTGACCCTCATTTTCGGAAAGTACCATATTAGAACTCCATCGCTTCGTCAGAACTCCATCGCTTCGTCCTGTTACAGTTTTAGGAATTAGACCGACGCTGAAGCTAAGGGTCAGAAGTATATTTTAATCATATCCCCCTAAAACGTACATGACGAGTATTAGCATAAGAATCCCACAAAGCATTTAAGTATATCTAAGTATTGTGTGCTGAACCCTTAGGGGGAGTTTATGGGTGGATGTGGGATGTTGGTACTATGCCTATATCGGGACCCCATATCCCCTTTGTCCCGAAATATCCCCAGGGTTCCCAAAGGCCCCCCTTAGGTGCGCAACCCCCACTTCTCAAAGCTACAGGTCTGTTCGGAGCTAAATGAGCTATAGTCTAAACACCTAGTATTCCCCTTAGCAATCCTTATAACACTCCCCTAATATCATCCTCTATATAACCCCCTTTAAGGAGCTTGGACTATAGCTCAAACGGCTTTGGAAACCGTCTCCCTTGCAGTCTTCAGTCTGGGGGAGTCTCCGGTCTTATGGACCTCAGGGATATGCACAGGCATTATGATGGGATGATGGAGGTACCGTTCCTAAGGCCTAAAGGATTAAGCTGAGGATTCACATGTGTCTATAGTCCCCCTTAAGTAGATCGAATATGGCTTTAGGATAAGATCCTCCCCATATTCTATCTACTTTAGGGGCCCTATACCTGGAGCACCGTGCACTCGCGTAAGACAGGGTTTAGGGTTTAGCGTACAACATTGTAGGCGAAATGCCTCTTGGTCAGGACAGATTAGTGTCTCTGGCTACACCATGGTATGACTAGGCTTGCGGGGGACTTCCGAGAAAAAACCGAATGCCATTTGAGCCGTAGTTTAAACTCGCAATATCCCCTTCAATAATCCCTATAGTAGTCCCCCCCTGTAAAATCTCCTATATACCCCCTTTAAGGAGTTCAGACTATGGCTCATTTGCCACTGGACGCTTCTTTGAAGCCCTTCCCCTCTTTTACTACAAGGGCTGTTGATTTTGGGGAGCATGTAATTTCTGAAGCCGCAAAATCACTATAACCCTGAACTGTTTAAGGCGGGGAATGTAGGCGCATAAATAACCGACATGCGCAACCCCAATCCCTCAACCTCAAATCCAACAACCCAAAACCCTTCCACGGTATCCTTGTGAGATGATTACTCGAAAGGTTTTGTAGCTAAGAAACGCTGGAATCTCCGTCTCCTCTGCAAAGAAGAAGATCGCCAAGATAATGAAAGGCGTCATGACAGTACCTGAGAGCTCATTTTACGCATGATGAGGACAGCAGGGATCAGGCCAACAATCGAACAAAGATTAGTATATTCATGGCAAGGAGTCAGGATGGTAGGAACCTGTGTGTATGCAAAAGCGGTGTTTGTCCACATTGGGCGCGTAACATGTGGGGCGAGAGTGCCGTGAAAACAGCTCGGGTAAGCAATCAATTGCTCGCAGGGCTGCGCGGCCAAACCTCGTACACGCTAGATGCGCATGCCCTACGACTAAGGCCATACCTAGACCTCCCGAATATACCCTGAATCGTAGCCCACATACCCATTATTTTGGGGTAGCTTTACGGGTAGTAGGGAAGTCAAAGCCACGCGCAAGCCCGAAACCCCATAAGCCCCAAACCCCCATGTTTGCTTATATTCCTACTAGATTCTTGAGGTTCCCTGTTTGGGGTTCCCATTAGAACCTTTTACTATATTTGCGAAGTGGCTCATGCACGTGGTACCGCAGCCGATCACCTCTTCCATGGCCTCCTCGATTGGAGTACCCTCGACAACCACCTGCAACGGAGCTTGGAAATTGGGTTCGGCCTTGGGTTTACCTACTGGTGTCTAAGGGAGATTTGGGGAGGGCATCCCTATAATAGTCCCTAGATATGAATTCCATATGTACCCCATGATGGTACCTATATATTCACTCCCCCAATCCCTCTTAAGCACCAATGCGTTCAGGTGTTATAGGGTCTGCTGTGATATATGCGCACAAGCAGTGCGCCTCCCTCGCGTTGTCTTTAGGTCCCCTATAGGTTCACCTTTGTGAACACCAAAAGTACACCTCCAAAACTGGCGTCGTAGAAGGCCATGAGAGATTTGCAGGAAGGGCAAGGCACGAGGTTTTTGGCTTAACGTTCTGCGACGCAGCGAATTAGGGAGGCAAAGCCTCCTGAAGTTAGGGTTTAGGGTTTTGGGTTTAATGTTTAGTATGGGGTATCTCTCAGCCGGATAGCCTATCGCGAGGAAGGCACAACGACACAGCGTTCAAAGACTTAAAGGTTACAATACGCATTTCGAGAAATTCCCGAAAAGCCGCTGGCCAGCCTTCAGAACCCAGCGTGTAGAACACAAATCTCCTCCCAAAATGTTAAAGACCCCCACCCTCATAATACTAAGTACTCCAATATACTACAAGCAACTACAATACATTATAACTATACATAACATACATAACATACCACAATGATTCAATATTGTGGGGGTGGGGGTTCAAAAATTACGGAAACTCCCTAAACCCTAAACCTAAACCCTAAAAGCAGGAGGTGTCATAACTGGATACTGGCCCTACATAGGTCGCTCAATGTAACATTCCCTTTTGGAGGTAGATGGTTTAGGGTTTGGGGGTTTGGGGTTCGGGGGTTTAAGGTTTTTAGGGTTTTTAGGTTTAGGTTTCAGGGTTCCTTAGAAAATTGCTGCTCCTAGATTGTGTGGGTTAAAGTCTGGGTAATCTCTAGCCATGTATGTTTTCAGGAATGCACATCCTGTCCATTAGAGAGCTGCAAGCCTTCAGCCACCCTTTTTGGATACACCCCCCCTCGTAATAATACGCGAACCATCTTTGGGAACCCTACACCCTTAGCCTAATTTCCGGGAACTGTCACCAAAGAAGCTTTTTTTTGCAGAGATCTAGGGGATGGAATCCTTCTTGGGAAGCCAAACTCTAAGCGTAGTTCCCATGGGTCGAAGTAGGTGTATAAGACATACTTAGGCCCCGAAGTAGCTTATATAAGTTATGGAAGCGCTCTTGGGTCGTTAGTATATATACTCTCTCTCTCTCTCTCTCTATATACGTAAACCTCTATCTACACGGGCCCTTTGGGGTTTGACTGAATTGGCTTTGGCAGGATCCAGTGGCTCTGCAGCGAGATGACGCCCGACGATGTTGAGCATGTGTTGAGTCGGGAGATTTTGAAATGAGAGAGGCTCATGAGCTAACAGGCTTGTCGTCCTTTAACGGAAGTCACCTAACTGGCTTCGTTTCGTCGCATGTACTCGATCTTCTTGACGAAAGCTACGTAAGCCTACAAGGCCCAGTCAAGTGATGGTTTACAAAGGCCCCAACGAAAGTACCTGTACCTCAATATGGGCGTCCTATACAAGAATCTCTGAAAACAAATGCAACTGGTGCTTGTGAACGCAACAAAGGACGCAATGTTGGAGATTCTAGCATGCCCGGAAGCATTTGGCATTGCTTTCACCCCTCCGACGCATGACCCGTGGTTGCTGTTTATGGCGCCCCGCATTGGACATCAGATATGTATATACATATCTATATCTGCACTGCCAAACATGTCTGAGGAATCCTATATACACACAAACCACAAACCATAATGAAGCCCTACTGAACATGTCCCGAATCCCTACAAACCAAGATAAAACCCCTGCACACATTTGAGTTTCCATTTTTTCCATGTTACTGTTATTGTCCATTATTGGGAGCAGTATCCCTGAACCCTAATCCAGAATCCCTCAACCCTACTCCCTGAAATCTCTCTCTATATGTGTATATACGTACAGTATACCCTTACATAACCCCCAACTCCAACACGTGTGACATTGAGGGGCCTCCTCTGGTGGGATTTCCTTAGACGTCGGACAAGGGGGCACGAGCAGCTTTGCATGGGAAAGGACTCTCAAGGAAGTACCGCAAAGGTCCAGATGATTCTGAATATCATGTTCCGGTCTATTTGAGGTACACCATACTAGAAGTATGCCAGGAGTATGGATGGGACAATCATGTTGGCGATTGTACAGGCTTCTACAGTCATTTAAGGTTTCGGGCTTGGGCATGGGTCCCCGAGCAAAGAAGGCAGGAATTGAGAAGAATCACATCTGGAGGAGCAGTGGCCCATTTGCAACTCAGCTGTAGCAGGTTTTTGGAGGGTGGGAACCGAATTATAACAGGTACTGGGGACGGCCAGAAAGATTACTATGAGGTGGGGCATCTGGAGCGGTAATGTGAGGTATAGTTGTTGGCATCATATTGTCGTTGGGATTACAATTCTGTTCTACTTTCCAATCACAGGTGTAATCACGATAGTGCTAGCAAGAGTGCACATACTAACGCTCATCGCCGAGAGCATCCGTGAGGCAGGTGCAACCCTGTGGCGCCGGCTGCTCTTCAGAAGTCGCATTAAGCACACAACAAAAAAAGCTACCTGGCCCGAGTTCTTGGTAGTTTATGCTGGATATGTAGAGCAGGCAAGAATGCTGACCTTCGCACTTATGAATATGCTTTGTGGCGTCATTCACCACACAGCCTGGAGCCACGGAAAATCCACATCAAAGCAGAAGAGCCCTCCGGCAGACCCCAACACCTTATAGACACAGAACCCCTCGACCCTTGCCCTTCAGCTCTGAAATCCCCAACAGAGTTGCATCTTCCAAGCATCTGGAACATCAGGCCTACATTACGGAATAGCGTGATGTAGGTATTCTTGAATTGTGGTGGTTCCGCTGCTATAATCCCTGGACCCTTCCAAAAGGAAGGCCCAGAAAGGAACCAATATTCTGAGAAACTCTTTACCCAAACGGACTTCCTTCAAGAAGGCTTCTGATTCCCATTTCAGTGTAAGGCGCTTCGTCATCTTTGCCCTCGGACATTAGCAAACCAGAGCTGGAGCGTCCTGCATAGAAGGAGGTTTATGATTTAAGGCTTACAGTTTGGGTATATTATTGGGGTTATACATAGGGGTAATGGAAAAAATGGAAACTACTACATTCTTATAGGGTAAATATAAGGGTTATAGTCCCCTTTAAGTAGATAGAATATGGTGTACATGGGGATCGTATTATAATATACCCAAAGCCATATTCTGTCTGCTTAAGGGGGCTATATACAGTTGAGAGGCCCATGTCTGCGAGCATTGGGTGTACAGGAAGCGACTCATGGAAGTATGAGACTCCGCACGAACACTCATTCTGATTGCACATGGAGGTTGCCTGATTACAGCCCATAAATGCAGACCCTTGCAGGGGCTTGCAAAAGCCAGAGTCTCTTCGAACAGTTCTATCTGAGCGTAGGTGCACTGGATCCCTGCTCCATTGTATCGTAGGAAAATATTAGGATCTTAGTAAAATCGCTATGATACCCTGGTCACGGTTTTTGCGTGTTGGCCGAGTCTGACAGACATCAAACAGAGGTTCGGTCGCCCATCAGCACATGAAGTGCTGGCTGTCTGTGCTGCAGCGACAATGCAGCACTGCTTGGAAGTGCTAGTGGTAAACCTCTGCCTACAACCCTCATATCCTAACCCTAGACTTGCTCCAACTTTCAACGAATTATGGCTATGGCGGTTAGTAGAATCTTTGGCCCGGCAGCTGTCGCATTGGCAGACTTCCAGTCTGAACTCTACAAATCACACCAAAGGCTTTGCTGACTGCAGCTCTACTTCCTCAGAACCATCCTCAGCATATTCTGGCTGCCTTTTATTAGTCTCTCCATGCTTGTGATTCAACATGATCAAGTACTGGTCAACATGACGAACTGGCCAATGCTGGCATGACTTGCATTGCTGTTTCATTTGAGCTATAATCTAAACTCCTAGTATCCCCCTTCATAACCCCAATAATAGGGACCCTATATAATGCCCTCTATAACCCTATATCAAGCCTATATAATCCCTATAATCCCTGTAGTTTCCATTTTCTTTTCCATTATCCCTTTGAGGAGTTTAGACTATAGTACATGTGCCATCCTCCAGTGACAATCAAGGCCAGGCGCCAGAACCAGGCTCGAGTCCTCAGTGCTCGAAACAGCACGGAAGGAGGGAAGGTTTCAATAGTTTGGGTTTCGGCTTAGATACCTACACAATTGGTTGTAGAAGTGTTTTTCCTACACAATTGGTTGTAGAATATTTTTCCTGCCAAAGCTATGAAAAAAATCCAGGATAAGACCATGACAGGATCATGCAGGGGTCACTTGGGGTGCAACTCAATTATGCGCACAGAGCGCATTAACTCATAAGGTTAGGTCGCGGCTTAGGGTGAAAAGTTGTCAAGTCTAGGGTTCAAACACCTTAGGCAGCATGACGATGTTGAGGGCCTCTCACAGGATAAGGCTTGCAACATCCTGCAAAAGTTGAAACCCGATATAGCAGGTTGTGTTGGCTTGTTTTTTCGTACTCATTTCTTCTGCCTGCCGGTTGTTGGGCTTGGGGTTTAGGGTTTAAGGGTTTGGTTTAGGGTGCTAACACAAAAACGTCTGCCCAAAAGAGCTCAAACCCCACAGCTACTTTCATGAGACGAAAGCCTTGAACCTATTCTGATACACCCGTGACATCTACACTAGTAACCATGAGTGCAAGGCACTATACGATGTTCCCTGGAAATAACTTCCTTGACCCTAACGCTATAATCCCTGAAGGTTAAAACTTGGCCAGTCAACCACCAAGTCTAGACCGTAAACGTTGAAACATGTTGGTTCCAGGTTCTTCGTCCAATGGATTGCCTGGGCGACGCTCTTCTCTCCCGCCTGCGTGAACCGGGGGTTCAGGAATGAGTGGCCGGGGGGTCAAGAGTACGACCATTGATACTGAAGATCAGCATGAGCCTCAGTACCTGAAACCTTGGGAATCTTAAAGCAAGGACATGCAGGAGCTTTAGTGTTGATAGCCCGAAACCCTCCACCTGGAAGCCTGAACTTGTACCCATGGCCCTAAATAATCAACTCCCCCTGGATATTGAAAACACCCACCCTCTATTCAATATTCCCATTGTGCTATACTATAACATCTTGGGAATATCTAATATGTAGGGGTGGGGGGTCTAAAACTTGGACCCTAAACCCTAAAACCATGACCCTAAAGATACCCTTTAGCGCAGAGCCTCCATGAGTGAGCCCAAAATCAAGCGCTCGAGAATGCCATAGAGCAGCTCAAGGAAGAAGCCTAGCTTAGAATCCCTGAAGCTTATCTCGGATTGGGGCTTCAGGTCTAGAGTTTTAGGGTTTAGTGCGTGGAGAAGAAAATTTAAAAACGCGCTAGTCTTGGTTTTAGGCGCTGCTATACAAATCAGACGGAAAAGCAGCTAGAAAATGGAATGGAAGCTAGGGCTTAAAGGAACATGTAGAGTCTGAGGTTCAGGGCCAACTTGCTGTGATGGTTGTAGACCCACTAAAGCACCCTAAACATGGAACCCCCCAATTATGCCGAAGTATCCCCAAACCCTGAATCCTAGCTAGTACTTTTACATTCCTTCACTTCGTAAACCCAAAACGCCAATGCTGATCTCATTTTGGAAGGGTCCATTTTGCCGGTCTAAGGACTGAACCTTCCCTGCTTTTGAAGGGGCTGTGCATTTCAAGTTGTTGGTGCTCTGCTCAGGGTTTCGGGCAAGACAGGCTCAAGTCAGGGTTTAGGGTTTAGGGTTTAGGGTTTAGGGTTTAGGGTAATAAGTCTGAGTCTAAGCATGAGAAGAAGAATAGAACAAGTTACCCAACTGTGATGCAACGTGTGTGCTATCCAAGGCTTTCGACGGAAGAAGGCTTCAGGGCAATGTGGGTACTCAGGTGGGAGAGGTTAAACACATGGGGTGTTGTTCCAAAAGTCCTGGTAAAAGAGGGAACATTGCACATACACCTCCTTAAAGGGGGATCCTAACTGAAAGGGAATCTATGGCAATGTTGAGGACAGGTATTTCGAACAATTGCCACATGACTCCGTTTGCAAATTGTGTAGCGCTGATTAAGAGTACTTCGTGTGGTAGGGTTTAGCCTTATCTCAGACATCACCCAGTCCTAAAGCAGCTATTCCCTGGAACAGGCCAAAGATATCAGGTTTGGTATTTAGTATTTGCGAGGGTCTGTTGATGAGTACTATTTCGGCTTTGCACAAAGTGGTGGATAGCTGGATGCTTGACAGCCGTAAGCCTCCTCTCGAAATTTGAAGACACCCCAAACCCTAAGCCCTACACACCCAAACCAACATGAACCCTGAAAAGAGGTCATGTTAGTTTGGGGGAGGGTCAACCTTGGACCTTTGGAAACATGGTGTGGATCCTAAGGGCTCTTGGGGAATAAGTTAGAATTGTTAAGGGTTCCTGTAAGTCTTCCATAGCCTATATAATGAACAAGGGCACCAATTTTGGAAGCTCCCAGGTCCCCAATCAAGCCCTACATCCTCAACCCTAAACCACATAAGCCTGAGATTAGCTTCTAAACAGGTTGTAAACAGGCATGAGGCCGCACCCCTCCACCTGATGCGAAGTAGGAAGGAAAGGAACTGATCCCCATGAAAACCTCCGCAAGCTATGCCCCATGCTCTGCTAAGCTCTGCGAACCCTAAACCCTGAACAAACAGTAGAGTTGATGTTCTTTTCCATTGCATACTAGGCACCCTATACCCTGAAACATGTGTTAGTAACTCAGTCGTTCAAATTTTCTGTTACCACGAAAGATCTTGAGCCCAGCAGGCCTTCGCAGAAGTCCACGAAGTCATCAGCGCCTAGAGTGCCTGAGTCCCACGTACAGGCTTCGAAGGGGTATATACATACATACATATCTAGAAGCATGCATATATTTATACATATCTACTTCTCAATCTTGATCTCTGCCTCTGTAGATCAACTTCCACTAACTTTTACAAAACCTCAGGCCAGCATTTAAAACAAATCTGCATGACAGCAGCACTACTAGAAGCATCTCTTGGTTCCTAATTAAACGAGTATTTTGGTTATAGGGTTATATAGGGGTTATATAGGGGATACTGGAAAAGAAAATGGAATCTACTATATTATAGGGTTATATGAGTAGCGTTTTTTTTTGGTGCTTGAACCTGGTAAGATTATATTCCTTATGTACAATACTATACCCCAAAAGGAGGATATACTCTGACTCTATAGTGGGGGCGATAGTATCTCCACATGAAATACTACTCATGGGAGCCCAACCTCAACCTGGCAGACGACAAGGACACTGCACTCCCTTAGCCTGAGGGCGCAAACTTTTGAGACCAAGGGTAATAAAAATAATGACTATTGCCATTGTTATCACGATTATTATTGGCATTATGGTGATTAATATTATTTCGACCACTAGTACTATTCTTTGTTCTACTATAACTACAATGATTATTACTACCTGTCTTTAGCACTTTATTCAGTCGATGGACAAGTCCAGGTCTAATTCAGGTGGAACGAAAGGTCTGGGTGGACCGAACCATGCGGCTCCATGAATAAGCCCAGATGTCTACACAAAAGAGCTGCCTTGGACTATTTGGAGCCCTAGGGAAACATCTCAACCGCGTTTTCTCCAAGGCGCCGATGAAGAGCACCTCAGGTGCCCAACATAACAGCCGAATTGCTTGACACTGCTGATGCTGAAGCCCTCGGTGTTCTTATGATGCTACAATGGCGTACTTACCAAATCATGAAGTAGCTTCGTGCAGTTGTTTGGTGTCATGATGTTCATGTTTTAGTATCAAGCGATTTTATGGGAAATGGGCCTTCTCGGTTCAAAGAACATAGCCTAGTTTGACTGGAACCTGATTCGACAACGCACCCAACATCTACGCAACAAAAGCACGTGACGTATGGAAGAACTCTATGCACAAGGCTTCAGTCCCACTAAGGCTGATGGCACATGCTCACCGTCTAGCACCCAGTTCAAGAGCGAAGGAAACCAGAACTCTCCGTGATCATTGCACAGTAGACCACATCACTTGTTCATCAATTGTAATGCGGACTGTCATCGTTGATCACAGGCGCCACGCTGCAGGCGGTGGACAGTGGCACCTGAATCAGCTCCTCACGAACGGCCCTGAGCGCGCGAAGAGAGGATACAGGAATGACATTTACCAAGAATGGTTACGTGAACCTACGGGATGTCCCGCCACGCATCCCTCCTGGTACTATAAATACACCTAACGTCTCCTCGTGAACTAGGACGAATTTCCTGGAGCGTAGGGGTTGGGGTCGGAGCTCTTAGCTCCAAACCAGAGAAGTCATTGCTACAGGGCTTAGGCTCAGGGTCGACAGGTTTGGTGCAAAAAGCAGCTGGCAAAGCCAAGGGGTCCAAACACAAGATGCATCCATGCATTCTGCTTAATTCCTGAGGTCAGGTTTGGGAAGTGGATGAAAAAACATTCGTGTAGCTTTTTGTCATAGATCCCTGTATTTGGGTGCTTGCTTTCTAGAAATCTGAAGAGCCGGGTATCTGGCCTATGCAAACTAACTAGCCCATGAGCCACACGGGATTTGAGATGTGCGGATCAGGATCAAAAAAAGGTGTCTGAGTTTTGAGCTTAGGATTGGGAGTTTAGAGTCTAGAAATTTACAGGCAGCTTCAAACCAGAGATTTGGGCGTTGACGCTTGCCGCTGTCCCGCTTGGTCTGCTGCTAGTAAAGGAATATAAGGTTTGGGGATACACTATACTCCTCCAACGATTCTGAACAAATTTGAAGAGACAGTGTTGTTCATCGGCACCCCGGTCGTGGGACCCTAAACCCTAAACCCAATGCAGCACGCTGTCCATAGCTTAGTCTGCCTTCCATGGCTTCCGGCACAAGCTCTCTCAGGCTAGGGACACTTGGAGCATCAAGGGTTTAGGGTAGGGAACTGCTAGAATCACTCATGAAGGAAGGTGCCTTATGACAGAAAGTGTCATTAACCTTTGGCATCGTCATCATGTGCACGTGAGACTTTCTCAAAATCACTCAAATGTAAGTCCTGATGCAATAACCCCTGCATGCCCACTGTAGTCTCTCTGTTACAAACCACAGGTCCCCGGAAATCAGCATATGCGTCTAGGGAAGTTCGAGGAAGGAAAAGATCGAAAAAAGTCCCCGCGACCTGGACAGAGAATTGTCCACAAAGTTCATGGCGAAACTGAAGCCGATGATAAAGTACAGCGCGTTCCTGAATTCATGTGTGGGTCAGCGTTGATATGGATAATTTAGAGCACATGTAACGTACACAGGTATCCGCACTACAGAGTTACATGCGGAAGTTTCCGCACTATTCAGCAGCTTTCTGGATGCTTCGTAACGTACATGACATAATCGGACATACTCCGGATGAATAACGGTGACAAGCAGCAATGAGGCTACGCATGGCCACACCATGAGACTGCACCCTTGTCCAGCAAATGTTATTGTTATGTTGTGGGTTTACTACTGATATTATAAATATTCCTATCATTCTTGTCATGGCTATTGTTATTGGAACTACATAGGAGTATGAATATATTAGTAAAATGTTCACCCAAGCTAGGCCTATATGGGGATTATATAGGAAACTTATCCCCAATAGTGGAGAAACAGTTGGGAAAGAGACTGGACCATGAAATGATAGCTGCAGAATGAAGACCACACGGTTTCTCCGTGTCTGTTTGGTTTGTCTGCGTCTCTGTTTACATTGACTGCCCTAGGCAGTAAACTACACCTTGGTTTATCTGCTCTGAGATCCTGTCCATCAACGCGAGAAGCGGTGAAGACCCGGGTGCAGACCAAGAATACCCCTTACCAAACACCATCCTCACCTACAAGATCACAATTCAGTCCAGGAAAAGCACCATTCTTGTCTAAAAGAGTACCATCCACTCCAGGAAAACCCAACCGATATTCTGACTGGATTCCCGTGAACTAGGAGCCCTCCAAACAGGACAGAACTCCTAGGAAGGATTCCTTCAGCCCGGGGTTCGTGGAGGGTGCATCCTGTCTGGCCTTGGGGCCCTACCTGATAAACCCCGTAACCCGAGATTCTGCACTCTAAACATCCTGTGTATTACAACACATCCTATCCCTACAGCCCTTTAATTAACAGGGGCCCACAGACGAAGCAGAGGTCAGGACCCAAAAGCTACCCACCCTGGACCTACCTCTTGTCAGCACAGAAGGAAGGAATGGAAAAGCGCATGGAAACGGTCTATAGGGGTTCAGGGTTTAGGGACTAGTGTTCCGGGTGTAGGTAACTAGCATGTTGGGCTTCGGGTAAGGGAGGTACTATGTATGTTGCAGGACATTGTGTCGGAACTGCTATTTCTACTCTGCACCATGAAGATCCATTCCTTCATTCCTTCATAACAAGCAAACCCAGGTCCCAGGGTCTCGCCGAAGTAATCGCAATACGTGAACTCCCACAGCAAAATCAGTGGGAAGATCAGGAAGACGCCTAGGGAGATAGTAGCGCCATGCTTTCTCATCAAGAATCTAGGCATATCACGAAACACCAATATCATCATAGGGGCTACTCCTGAAAGGAAGTTGTATAGGGGATTGAATAAGGGAGTAGTATTGGGGTTATTAAGGGGGATCCTAGAAGCAGTGGGAGCAAAAGAGGCATAGAGGTGTTAGCCTGGTTCAAACTTGTGTGTGTTGCTACCTAGCTGAGAATTCCAATTGCTACAAAACTTGTCTAACAGGAGCGATCCGACAGGTAGGCTGAGACTTAATAGGCTGTTCCAATTCCAGGGCCCCACCATTGTATAGGCATGGAAGCCTCTGATGCCAAACTATGAAAGAAGTACTCTTGCTACAGAGAAAGCAAATAGACCTCACTCAGGTGGTGGGACACATGAGCCACTAGCTCCAGGGATACCATAACTCGTATGGCCAGTTGTCAAAACTATGATCCACCTTCGGCTTCCCATGATAATGAGGCGGCTTATATATCGGGCTCCAGAGCGTCCCTACTGCGTAGCTTGAAAAAATCAATTGCTGTTGCGCATGCGATGCTAAGGCTAGGTGAAACTGATTGAATTCAACAAGTTGTCATAGCCACGCTCCTGTGAGTTCTCGCTTGCGCTCGGTGATTCAGTGACTGCAACGGTGCGGCAGGAACTTACGCGCCAAAATCCCAACATCTGCCAAAGAGCTGACAAAAATCAGGTGGGCGCGCTTCCATCGGATTGGAACAGTCCTGCATCCGAGCTGGAGTCGCTGTGTATTGAAGCTTCTCACTTGGGAATTAGGGGTCCTTTCTTTACGCGTAATCGACGTAAGAACTGTGGGCAGGCGGGGGCTAGCATACCAAGACCCCCTAAGGGATCCAAAAAATGGATCCCCCCAATAATCCCCTAGCTTACCCAATGTAGCAATGAGTTCATATGTGGGGGGAGTTCCATGTTTTGGAGCCTTTGTGGGGTCTGGGTATGTGTCCTTAAACGTGTAGAATTATACAACTGGCGGTGTGTCAAAACAGGGTGGGCCCTCGACGACCCTGGGCAATGAAAGGGATGATGGAGAGATCCTGGGGTCCCTTCTAAGGATTACACGCGGGGATTTTGCTGGTGATCTCCTATATCACCCTATATCTGTGTGCCAAAGACTTCCTGGACCCTAAACCCCTAAACCCTATATTGGTTCCAGGGAGGCCCTAGCTGTCTTCTAAAGCAGGGGATGTGACTAGACCCTGATGCATCCCGATAAAGTTCCTTAAGAGCGTTGAGCCCGAAACCGTAAACCCCCAAGCTCTGAACCGGCAGACACTAAAGCTTCACCATAGAACCAAAGAATCCATGTAGCTTTCTAGTATATACTTGGGCCTCAAATAAGTATCTATATTACCCTTTTGGGCCCTAAGTATATACTGTATACCTACATGGGCTTCTTGGGAGATTGACCCATCCCCTTTAAGTGAAGCCCTTTGAAAAGGAGCTCTCTCCTGATTTGCTGTCGCTGTTCGGCGCGAAGGGTGAGACCCTCACGACCTTGGACGTTTGCAACAGCTTGAGGCACTGAGCTGAAAGTTTAGGGGTTGGGGGTTGGGTGGTTTGGGGTTTTTGTACTGTTGAGGGTCTACGTTGGTTTGGGGGACCATGCGCTGGATTTATCTGAATGTGTAGGTAGCATAGGGTACATCACTCTACGGTTTCATAGGGCAGCGCATTACGAAACCCCAAACGCCCAAAACTCACCCAACAGCTTCCATGCACTTCTTTTTTTGTGGTGGGCCTTCCTGAATCCCAGTGGTGCAGGGCCTAAAGTTCAGCACTCTATAGTCCCCCTTAAGTAGATAATTTCTGGCTTTGGGTATATTATATTAAGATCCCCATATACCCCATATTCTATCTACTTCAGGGGGACTATACCCTAAACCCTGGACAGGATGAGGCCAACATGACATACTTCGTAACTGTGCTTCCAAAGTAATTGGAAGGCAAAGGGGCTTAGAGTTTAGGGGTTTAGGGTTCAGGGTATAATCGGTGTATTAGCTACAGATATAGTAGTTTACTCAACAAAGGGAACCCCAATGTAGACCCCTAAAACCCCCATAAGTGTGTTATGGCAAGCCCGCCGGGCACACACGCTTACAAGACTTGCTGGTAGCCATAAGGATGGATGGAAAGCAAAGATGACTGAAGAGGATCACGCATGAAACTCATTTCCTGATTTTCCTGAAGTAACCTTCATCAAGGTGCACCGTAGGGGGGTGTACTATAGAACAGGGGGAGTAGCGGGGAAATCAATTACAAACCCCAAACCCGGAACGGTAAGGGGAGTATATACAAGGGGACTTCGAACTTTAAGTTGCGGTTTCATGCCAAGCTGCTTAGCAAATGGGTCGGCTGCTGCAATAGGTATTGCTCCTGCCGTGCATGCTTGGACCAACAAACCCAATCGAAACTATTGGGTACTTGGACCCCAGCACCGAAAGCTCCGCTGGAGCGATTGGGAATTGGGCTTATAAAGGCCGGCGCAGGAAAAAAGAAGCTCCGATAATCTCGCGTCAATTTGGGCTTCAGCCGTTTCACGGCAAACCCTCTCTCAAACAAACATGCACCCTGAACAGGTCTACTGTGCTTCGTTACAAAGCCACCGTGGGGGTCCATGTCAGTTTGGGTACAGCAAGAAACTGGTTTCTCACGAGGAGATCCTTTCAAAGTTACGATAATGGCCGCTCCTAAGGTCACACGATTAGTACTGTTTCTTGGGGTGCTTTATGGTGGTCTACATCCAACGGTACCGCGTTTGAAGTATTTGCTGCGTAGCGCCTGGCGTGATATGAATTGTACTGTGGCAGCCGGAATGACGGGATGTACTGTTAATATACCTGCATAAGAGTTTCCTTAGCGGGTCTGAGGTGATGATCGTACTAATTATTCCAGGCTTCTATATGAAACAGGTTGCGCCGCCTTACCCCGGACAATCCTATATAGCTCCTTATTCTCGCATCCCAATTTCCATTGCATCTCCCATCTGTCTCTCCATTATCATTTCGCAGAGCTGCCGAGATCCAAGACTCTACACCTCGTCTGGGACTACTTGTACATCCCTACTGTTGATAGACAAAACCCTGAATGACCTTAACTCATTGAACCTGGAAACTCATGGCACGATGGTATGCTCAACATCAGGCAGGATTTAGTCCATCTTCAGAAGCATGGGAGTGTGGGCCAAATTCTTCACCCATTGAGTAAAATTAGCTACTGCTCTTGGGACTTTGACGGTGCATATGGCCAAGCAAGATCTTCCCAGCGCGACATGGGAGAACCGTCGCATGCTTTCTGTTCTCTGCTTGTTGGGGGAGGAGGGATCCTTTGCTAAGATCACTATGCACAACCCTGATCCTAAACCCCAAAAGTAAACCCTAAACCCCAAAGCCCAAACCCTAAACACCCTAAGCTCGACACCCAAAACCCAAAACCACTAGACCCCAAAGCCTATAGTACCCCTTAAGTAAATAGAATATGGCTCTGGGTACATTCTATTAAGATCCCTATATACTCGCTCCGTATTCTACCTACTTAAGGGGGACTATAACCTCAAACCCTAAATCCTAAACCGTAAACCCTATACTATCTACTTAAGGGGGACGTTAACTTCATATGGCTTATAGGCGCTATCAAACTAGTTACTAGGTCCCCATGACCCTCCAAGTAAATCCCAAACCCCTGCGACGTTGAAGGACGGTCCTCAACTTCGCGAAGCCGCGGAATGATCATGCGACTTCCAGACACCATCATCAACAACCTAGGGTTGAGGGTTTATAGGGTTAAGGGATGAGGTTTTAGGGGTTTGGTGTTTAGGGATTTAGGGTTTAAGGATTTAGGGTTTAGGGACTAGGGTTTGAGGATATAGGTTGGGGGTTGAGGGATTAGGGTTTGAGGATAAGGTTGAGGGTTTTAGGGGTTAGGATTTAGGGATTACGGTTTGGGGATAAGGTTGGGGGTCTAGGGATTAGGGTCTAGAGATTAGGGTTTAGGGATTAGGGTTTGGGGGTAAGGTGGGGATAAGGTTTAGGAATTAGGGTTTGGGGATTAGAGTTTAGGGATTAGGGGTTCAGGGTTCAGGTCACAATTCCAAAGGGTCCATGCAAGTACTTCATATACACTTACTGGGCAAAAGGATTCCCATATTTCTACTTATTGGGGCCCAGGTGTTTTCCATACAGCTACATGGACACTTTGACTTTGGATAGGGTCCACGGTATGTAGTCCCCCTTGAGTAGATAGAATATTGGGGTACATGGGGATCTTAATATAGTGTACCCAAAGCCATACAATCTACTCAAAGGGGAATATCTAGTGTTGGTAGTAGAACAGCTTGCCAAAGAACACAGATTGGCTAGCAGCTTTACTTTCACAAGCCGAAGGCTCGTGTTCATGAGCAGCCCGTAATCATGGTCCATAAACAAGGGAACGTAGGGCTGCAAATTATCCAATGTAGCTACAGTACCATTTATGTATAGACTTCAGAGCCTGGACCCTAAACCCTAAACCTTTCTCTAGGAAGCTGAACCCTAAACCCTTCCAGGAAAAACCTAGGGGCCCCAGGGCAGTGATGATTTTGGCGACTTCGGAAATCCTCCGTTTTGCTAAGGACTCCTCTATGGTCAGGTGCACTGACTTCATGAATATAAGTATGCCCCGTTGTTTCCCCCAAGAAATTCTAATCTGAAGAAGTCTAGAAATGGCAGCTTACCCCCTGAGACCCTTCATCTCAAGCCCTCAACCCTAAATATTCCAAGGCACGGAACACGGAGCTCTAATCCCTGAACCTACAACAATACGAAGGCCAGCAACCCGGCCACGAAGAAGCATGTGCCAGTGCGCCCTTCGCGGCAGCGGTCAGCTTCCTGCCCAATAGCAAGGGTTCAGGGTTCAGGGGTTCAGGGGTTTAGAGGTTTAGGGTTCAGCGTTTTAGGATTTAGGGGTGGGGGTGGTCCAAGGCACAGTGTGTGGGGTTCAGGATTCTTCTCTTTCGCGCTTTGCTTAGTTTTTTGCGGGACCTATGGTTCAAGTTCTGTGGAGCAACTCTTGACATAGGTCAACAGCTCTACTACTTGAGCTGCACCTAAACTACCTAAACATTTCACAAATTCATCCCTAAGCCCTGCTTGAGTAAGCCTGGGATAACGGCACCCAATGCCTATAGAAACTCGCAGATAGGCCCTGGCAAGCTTTAACCAGCCCTGTCAGAATCCGACATCTGAAGCTCAACATCCGTGAAATGAACAAACCCTACACGACCACAGGCGGGCAAAAAGAATCTCTGAATCTCTTCATTGGGCGTAGGGGTTCGGGTAAACCCAAGAAGTTCCGACAACCGTGAACCTTGAGCCGGATAAAGTGAAGCCTAAATCCTGTACCCCAAATCCTTAACCCCCAAATTCGAAAATCATAAATCCTTGACCCCAGATCCTAAGCCCCATTACCCAGATCCTATAAGCCTTGAATCCTACGCGGACAGCCGTTGCGGGACCGCCTTAGGGTCAGCCTGCTGAGACCCGAGCCTCAACAGCCAAGAGATTCGGGCTTAGGGTTTAGGGTCTTAGGCTTTGGGGTTTAGGGTTGTAGCGTTTGGGGCTGAGAAATTGACTTGGAAAGTGAGGATTACAGGTTTAGGGGGTTTAGGGGTTTAGCGTTTGAGTTAAGCGGTCTTGAACTGTATGGCGGTTCTTTTGTAAAACCCAGGTTTCCTTTAGTCCACCAGGGTTGCCCAAATCGAGATACCTCCAAATTATCTAGCGAGGATAAGGGTTGAGATGTAGAATTTACAGTTTGGGGCTTGCTTTGTCTCCCACGATCAAGGGTATCTGTGTGGAGCATCCAAGGATACGCAGGCACCATGCGCGGATTTGCTGGGTACCAGTGTTGACATTGTTACTGCGCTGTTTCCAGGTGTAACCCATTGCCATCTCAAGTAACCATGTGCACACTACAGTAAGCTATCTTAGTGGAGCTACCATGATGAGCCTGACAGCGTGGTAAGATGTGAGAATTGCTGCAAGGGGTTGGGTCTGTCAGCTTAGCCATGCGTTCTCCAGCAGATGCTGAACCCTAAGGGTCCAAGGACCCAAATTATAGGGCTTGTGGGCCCAAATACCATTAATGTTATAGTATTTGGGCCCTAAAACCCAATTATTTGGGTCCTTGGACCCTTAGGGGAACCTAAACCGCGACGAAGGGACGTGCAGTTGAGCTACGGGCTTGGACGTCCCAGACCCACAGGTACTAATAACGTAGGTTTTGCCATTGGGCTTTTGCCCGCAGTTTGAGGTTGACATAATCGCCAAAAACTTATCCCGGGTTCCCAAGGAATGTTGAAATTGGATTCTCATAGTTGTCCATGTATAACCACCCGAAACATAGTAGTTTGCAAGTTGATTCTCCACTTCTTCATTCCCTACCCTAAAACCTGTTATACACCCTCAATGGTAGTTTCCATCTTATTTCCCATTCCTTCGGTCCCTACTAACAAAGAGGTATGATCTTCACAGCCACTGCTGTCAGGCATGGGTAAGATTAAAAACCCCATCCACTCGTAGTGAGCAGCAGGGGATAACGGCAATTATGTTAAGGTCCCTATACTGTACATTCTCATCATCCTTCTATTTGTGGGTGAATGCCTAACCTAAGGTATGGGCTCCAAGTCAAGTCACTCCATGTATTTGCAGGCGATGCCACCTGTGAAGTTGAAATCCGGATGCAACCTTCAGCAATGGCTTGTGCAGATGTCTTGCCGACTTTATCATTGGGGCATGGGAAGATGCTATCAAGAAAGAGCATCATCGGGATTTGTGGCTCGCAGCTTCGGGCTTAGCATGGAACTTGAGTCAATCCCTCACCCAGTACTGGGTACCACAAAGGACTATTGTAGGTATGTTCAGGCCCGCATTAAGGCCCTATTTACTCCATATCTAGTGACTTTTCCTGTAGGGGGGATTGACCGAACATGGAACCCTAAACCCACGGCGCTTCGTCATGTGTGTAGATGGCACTTCGGGATTCGCGAGCCTAGTAGGCTTCGAGTTACTCCCGCAGGGTTGCGGGATGCCCAAAGTTGATGCCAATGTCTAGCAAAACGGAAGACAAGGGGTTTAATTAGAGTTCAGGGCATAGATAGGGATACAAAGTACCTCCTGTGCCCCTTTGACTTCTTCTAACTATACGCATTACTGCACTTTCGCTTGCACGTTGGGCTACAGAGTTACAGGCTGTAAGTTGCGCATTCTTTTCGGCTGGCACAGAAAACTGCAGCTGTCATGTTTGGCCCACCACGACAACAATTCCTTCCCACAAGCCTCAACTTTCCACATGGCAGCCAAACCGGAAAGTGGAATGCCTGTTACTTGTGTGATGCCCCTGCCTAGTAAAATTCCTATGCTACCTTTTTTGTTGGGCAGGAGGCTCGCCTGATTCGTTAACGTTTTGACAGGAGGGCGACTCTGCTCTTCGGACTTCTTTGGCTGGGGAAGGAAACATGGAAGGATGGCGTGAGCCTGTGGATAACCCAACTACCCTAAACCCACAAAAACCCTAGACCCTAAAACCCCGAATCCTAATACCCTTCAACCCTTAAACCCTAAATCCTAAACCCAGGTTAGCCAGGTGGCAGCATCTTGATGAAGCCACAAGCAACCACCACGGGGACCGTGGCAAAGGACACGCCCTGAACCTTCATCCGTCAAAAACGCTAGGGCCGCTAGGGTTTAAGGTGTTAGGGTTTATAAGGTTTGGAATTTATTTTGAGGGTTCGAAGTGATTTCACGTTTTGTCTATTCAAGCACCAACCAGTGCATAGTGACTACGAAAGATATGGGTAACCATTTTGAGGACTCAGGGTCCAAATCTTTTTCTCATATTAGACCTCTAACACCGGGTGGGGCCTAACCCAACCTGCTGTGCCCGCGGCTGCTAATGCTACTGCTGTGGCGACGTGACACACAAAGACGAAGAATAATATGCTGTAGTAGTATTGCAGGAGCGGCAGTCACAGGAGCAGCAAAAGACGAGGAAGTAGCCATCCTAGCAGCAGTAGGAAAGCTTCGAAGTGTTGGCGCAGAACTTCTAAAACAGCCGCTCATCGCACCGCATAGATAGCCTCAGGAGTGACCTTTCCCTGGCCCACCTCTGCAAAAGGATGCCCGCATACTGTGCAGCCCATTGCAGCCCAGAAGCAGGCCACCAAAACATGAACTCGTAGCCTTGCATTGCACAGAGCAGATGACAAGAGGGATCACTGTGTTGTCAACGAAGAACCCCACATGTCTAGGCAAAGCTAGGATGACAGTGACAGTAAAACCTTTCAAGCTTCCTTTCACCTGAGAATGGGGATGCAATACAAAATGGGGTAGATGCCAGCTCAATGCTAGCTGCACTGGGCCAAAACAATTTGATTAGGATTCAGGGCCCGTTTTCGGAAGCCCTGCAAAAAGACTAACGTTCGAAGGACACCCTTGAGGCCCTGCAACAAGACCAGAACAGCCCAAGATCCTATAAACCTCCCTGCTGAAAGTCCAGTGGCACTCCATAAGCCGGAACGGTGGAGCGTTGGCCTTTCGAACCTTCCACGCGGGAGTTGCTTCACAAGAGGACTTTTGTTGATCTCCGCAAGCTTTTCTGTAAAGGCCGCAAAGTCTCCCCAAGGCTCAACTAGCCAGGCAGTGTAAGTATATGGGAACCGCTTTTCAGACCTATGTATATACACTATGCACTTACACTTGCCCTTAAAGAAATCCCGGCCTTCAGTCGGATGCCCGCCCAAGCCACAAGCGTCGCACCGACGGCTCCCAAACCTTGTGCAAGCGCGATTGGTGAGATTCAGGTTCTGGGGCCTCTTTGGGTTTCGCAGTGCTACCTCAAACCGCTGGTTATGTCGGGATCAAAGAAAATGATAGCATAGCTGCACTGGACTCATGAGCTGTTGATAAAATCTACCTCACATTGGTTGGCTTTTGATAGAATTTGTAGGTTTGTAGCTGGATGGAGACATTGGCAGGCAAGTAACTATCACCCCCTTACTATCAGCATTCCCTCCACCGTCGATTAAAGAGAGGAGCCGCAGCTGCCTGAATTACAGTGGGCAGGCAGTCCACTTCTACGTCAACCTTATCTGTCGAAACCTCACACCACCACGAAGCTCTGGAATCTCGGAATATCTCGGAATTCAAGGTACAGTACCCTATAGGCACGCTCACCAAAAGTTGGAGCTGGTTGCACACTTTGGAACCTTCAGGGCCTCTTCACTGCAAACATCCAACAGGACTTGCAGATGTATAAGCAGGCGTGTCATCGCCGCAGATGTTTGGCTTCTTTGGGCAGCACTGCATGACCAGAAGAATGCATATGTGATGCGAACACGGATGTGTCATTGTTACCCTAGGGACCTAAAACCCTACATACCCCTCTATATCCCTATATACCCCCTATGTCCCCCTTTAAAGGTACAGAAGGCTCGAAGGGACAGGCGAAGCTGAATGCTGCCGTGCAGCCAATCAAGCAGTACAGGATCGCGTACACCTTAGCCAAGGCAAATGCTTGCATATGCGGTTAAGGTTTAGGGTTTAGGGTGGGACAAAATCTAGCTATGACTAAGTTTATAGGCCCCGTCTGGGCCCCGAGGATTCTGACAATTGGGTGTGAACTTACCCATAACATGATTTCATTGATGCATCTGCACCAGAATCGTAGGAGCACAACCCACAATTCAAAACATGGGTCGGGATGGTAAGAGACAAATGTCACAGCATCCAGGGGTGAAAAACATAGCCATCATCTGTCCAGCACAAAAACGCATCTGTTCTGCCGCCACCACTTGGGAATAAAAGGTTCTTGAACTCCCCCAAAACCTACATGCAGCGGCAAAAGGTGCCCTGCAAAGATCAGTGTCCTTCAAAAGCTAACGAGCTTTTAACCTCGAAGTGGTCATTTCCTACGCACACATCATTCTGGCTCCTTTGGGGAGTCTTCTCAGTATCGAGGGCCTGGGTCAGCATTTCCGATTTCCCGACAAACAAAAGCCCTGAGTCAAGAAGTAGAGTTCCATTTGCAAAACTACCTGGTACATAGCCGGTCGAACGGATCCCTACAGTGTGTAATCCCGGCGTTTCCTGAAAACAATACTTCGCGCAATCTGTTCTCTCTCATTCCCGACCCAACACCACGGAGACAACACGATGTGTAACAGAACCCTTGCGTTGAAGATCACGTGACATAAGATCCCTTCAATTCCTGACATGAAGCCCCTCTGCAAACCGCGTGTCACGAATGGGCAGTGCCGCAAGATGGGTCCCCTTGCTTGCTCATCAAGTACTAGAATCCTAATCTTAGGGATTCCGCAAAGAGGCTTCTGAAAACGCCCATGCTGGCACCACCAGGATACATGACATGGTCAAACCTAGCACTGGCATGCCCTGTATGCAGGTCCTAGGTAATTTTAACAGACTTATGATTGTACTTATAGCCTGTTTTTACCATATTAGGCGGCTTGGGTTTCTCATGCTTCGGTTGCCTGGACCTCAAAAACAGCTTAAGTCATGGTCCAAAACCCCTAAACATGGTCGAAAAGGCTATTATGCCACATGGTTTGGGAATCCAGGTAGGAGTACAGGTAGAAGACCTGCTCAGAATTACCCATGGACCTCCAACTGGAGCTGAGGTCGGCGCCTGGTATGGCCTCAAGCAGGCGCAGACATAAGGTTTGCAAAAGGGGGTAGGGGAGGAGGAGGACCCTAAGAATTAGAAGCTTTAACGGTACATTGTACGACATCTTCGTCAGCGTCAGGATTGAGAAGAGGTGAGAGCATGCATTGTGCGTTCCCCATCTTTTCAGCTACTGAGTCAGCAGCTCTACCCGAACCCCTAACACAATGCCAATTCCTTGTGGGTTGCTCTCCCGAATTTTCTTCATAGCGTCGCACCCTGGGTGCTAGGGATTGTGAATATTTCGGATCATGAGGCTCCCAAAGACAAACTAGGTAACTAGTCATGCTGCAAGATGCGCGAAAGCCCCCCGAAGGGGCCCTTACTTTAGCAACCTTCGCCTTGGAAACCACAAGCCTGAGACCTAGCCATACACCCTGCACCCTCAAGCCTGAACTCTTTAAGCAGAAGGCCAAGATGATTTGGGGATCCCCCCGCCACACATGCTCCGACGCATCCTGTGACGAGCCTGCAAGCCCTCACCCCCGTCCCCTGAACCCTATAATGGTAAACGCGGCGGCACCTGAACCTGCAGCCAGCAAAGCAAAGTTTCGCTCAAGAACCAAGACCCACACAAAGGGACCCCCAATCGCAAAAAACTCCCAGGTTAAGTCAGTTGGCAGCTGGAAGCCGTTCATGAGGTTGAGCCAATCCAATGCTTCGTACTCAATCATGAGGTAGTAGGTGGCTGGGATGAGGGGTCCAGTTGAGGAGCGGTGCAAGGATGCACGCTGAGGGTTATAGGGTTCTAGGGTTCGGCGTTTAGGGGCACAAGGTGGACATAGAGAGATCTAGGCGTGTGGGTTCAAAGCCGCAGGTTGCAGCTGCTGCAGTTTTGAAGTCTTGTGCTTACATCCCGGATGTTGACTACTTCGGTCATTTTTGCAACTATACTGTGGGCAAGCACGTGTCCTGCCATAATACATGCTGCGACTACAGAACATTGGCGGCTTTCGTCATCTATCAACGCAATCCCGCGGAAGAGTAAGTCTCAGTACAAGCGTACAACTGCGTTGCTATATCCAACATCCTACGCTTTGCAGAGCCCGTTGCTCAGCATGGACCATGCGCTAAAATCTGTATTGATCGGGTCTGCATGGTCTGCACCTTAAGGGAAGAAGGACTCTTTTGCGGGGTATGGGGATTATGAGTCAGGGCTTCGGGTTTAGGGTAGCTCTGGACATCGAGAATGTCCACAAAAAGGACCATGACCTAGAGCGTTAAATGTAAAAACATAAATCACTGAACCAACACCCTATGCAACCCATTATGGTAGTTTCCATTTTCTTTTCCATCATCCCCATCAAACCCCAATATAACACTAAGATCTAAAAGCCTTACGCATCCCAACCTCGAGGGCCTATAGGCCTAGGCCGGCAATCTGGCCGACCTGAGACTTTGTTGCAGAAATGGCGATAAAAACGCACGGCCCTCCTTCAGAAGGTAAAGCACAAATAGGCCTATGGAGATCCAGGCATGGTGGCCAATCATCAGGTTTGATCAGTGGCAGTAGGGCTATGCAAGATTGGAGTACTCTTGCTTCAAGGCCCCTGAATGACGCCTCTATGAAGCTAGGCACGCTCACCCAAGGAACTGTCTACGCTGCCACAACTTCCATAGCTGTTTGTACGGTTGGCTAGTCGGGCCCCTGCAAAACAATACACACCCTATCCTGAATTAGCCCGCAGGCGATTGGTTTCATCATTGTCGAACTCCGTCAAGCTCATCTGCGCTCCGACGAGCTTCTTGTCATCTGGCAAGCCAAGTGCAGTCAGGGACTGGGCTTAGCGTTGAGGAGCCCCAGAGCATTGACTCTAGATTTAAGCAGCATGGCTTTGCTGACTAATGTTTCCGAGATGGAGGGCCTGCGGGATCTTGCGGAAAAGCAAGTGAAAGAGGGTTCCCAGCAAACAGTTGCTTCTCCAAACACCAAAATGGGCCTCTGGTCGTCTAGTGCCAGTTTCCACGTGAACCCGGCTTTGCAACATGGAGTCTACATACGACTTACAACCCAAATCGCTGCATATATAACTAACTGCGAGCTGTTCTCATGACTTGCTTCTTTAGTCATGTGAGGGTTTCCCAAAATTGTGGGGGGTCCCCTTTTGGGGGTCCCCATAACACGAATTATATCGAATTATAGCATTTGGGGGTCTAAATTGGGTTCCAAAGTTTGGGACACTACCATAGGAGAATGGGATTCACAGGACTAGTGACTGGTGAAACCGTCGATTCAACTTCTAAGTGCTGATTTGGCATGCGAGGGAGAATATGTCTTGCCCGCAATTGGCTTACGAGTCCCCTATCCTGGCTGCTTCCACCTTCCCACCTCTAGTGTTCTCACTCAATACATAGCTGGTGCAAGTAGCTATTACTATCACTATAGATTACTTTCTCTATGAATACATAGGATTTCACCTAGCAACAGAGGCCGGGAACCTAAGCCACGGAAGCCCTCACGCC